GCTTGAGCCCAGGAGTTGGAGGTTGCTGTGAGCTGTGATGCCACGGCACTCTACCCAGGGGGATAGCTTGAGGCTCTGTCTCAAAAAAAAAAAGAAAAGATGAGGGTCTAGGGCCAGGAGTGGTGGCTCATGCCTATAATCCTAGCACCTTAGGAGGCCAACAGGGGGTGGATTGCTTGAGCTCACAGGTTTGAGACAAGCCCGAGCAAGAGCAAGACCCTGTCTCTAAAAATAGCTGGGCATTGTGGTGAGCACCTATAGTCCCAGCTACTTGGTTGGCTGAGGCAAGAGAATCATTTGAGTGTAAGAGTTTGAGGTTGCTGTGAGCTATGATACCATGGCACTCTACTGAGGTGGACAAAGTAAGACTCTGTCTCCAAAAAAATTAATAGTAAGGGTTTATCAATTAGACCCAATATAATATTTGTTATATAGATTGTTATATTTGGTCTTGTTAATATTATATAGATATATTCCCAGACTCAAGTGATTTGTTGTGTATGTTGAGGGCCTGCAGGTTTTCTTGCCCAGACTTAGGCCTGTTAATTAGTCACAGCAGGGCGGCAGCAGCTGCGGCTCCAAAGAGTAGGGCATCAGCCCCATATATCAGCAGCAGGAGGGCTATGGGTCAGTATAGGGGGTTCTGGGATCAGTAGCATTTGGCTTCAGGCAGAGGGTGAAGTTCAGGTCCAAACCTCCTGAGTTTTCATGCTGGGCCCAGGTGAAAGGAGCAGCCCCAACCAGGGACAACACCTCCTCCAGGCAAAGTCGCACAGGAGCTGCAGGAGCTGAGACCAACCTTGCAATTCCGTTGTCCAGCTCCACTCAGAGACAATGTGCTTGTTCACTCCCACTGGCAAAGCAAATCCCATGATGACACCATAGCCAATAAGGAACCCGGTAAGTCCCAGATAATGTCAGGGACACATCGTCTGTCACCTCTAGGAGCACAGCAGGGTGGAGGAGGGGACCAGTCTAAAGCGGGGAGCACTTCCCACAGCCATTCAGAACTGACACCCCGGAAGCATAGGCTGGGAGGGATGCAGGGTGGCCACCGGGAGGCACACTGCCCCCTTGTGTGCCCAGAGGAGCAGGCACAGCAGGTGCCAGTCTGGGCGAGGGCTGGTGGTGTCAGGGTGTACACTGCATTCCCTGGGACATGTGGCTGTAAGTCACACAGCTACATTGGTCAGGGTTCGCCAGAGAAGCAAAACTATCAGGACATGTGTGTATGCACTTGGAGATTTATTATGAAGATGGCTCAGTCCTGAGTGGCTGAGAATTCCCAGCGTGTGCAGTCTGCAGGCTGAAGATCCAGGAAAGCCGGCATGGGAGGCAATCTGAGACCTGGTCCCAGGGCAGAAGGTGGGATTTCACTCTGGTCAAATTGAATAAGGCTTTCTCTGTTGGGGACACGAGCTACATCCGCAAGTGGGTGGGCATCAGCCTGTCCCTGCACAACCAGGAATGGACTGAGGCTCAGTGACACTATCAAACCCAAAACTCTTAGCATCAAGTCACTCTCAGTGTCCCTGGATGTTACCGCCACCTGGGTCCCTTGCTCACTGCCAGGTGAAGCCCTCAGAGGGCAGCAGGAGTTGCAGCAGAGAAAGAGTTTCTTGTATTTTGCCTCATATAATGTGCCCCAGTGTACAATGTATCCCCATGTTCTTGGCCCAGACTTTCAGGAAGAAAATTTTGCATTTTAATCTTTAAATTAAAATTTTTATTTCTTTACATTTATGTACTTGTTTCTTGTGTCATAAAGGAATTTTACTTATTTATTTTTTAGAGACAGAGTCTCACTTTGTCACCCTTGGTAGAGTGCCAAGGCGTCACAGCTCACAGCAACCTCCATCTCTTGGGCTTAGGCGATTCTCTGGGTTTTTTTTTTTTTTTTCCCCACAGTTTTTGGCTGGGGCTGGGTTTGAATCCACCACCTCTAGCATATGGGGCCGGCCCCCTACTCCTTTGAGCCACAGGCGCCACCCAGGCTTAGGCGATTCTCTTGCCTCAGCCTCCCCAGAACCCACCACAACGCCCGGCTACTTTTTTGTTGCAGTTTGGCCGGGGCAGCGTTTGAACCCGCCACCCTCAGTATATGGGGCCGGCGCCCTATCCACTGAGCCACAGGCGCCACCCTCATTATTTAGTTTTTGACATAGTATGGTACAATAAATTTTATGTAACAAATAATTATAAAACACAAAAATAAATATGAGGTACTAGAAATTTTACATATTGGTGACAAGTTTATGACATTTATACATCATAGAAGGCCAAGAGCTCTTTGTCACTGTGAATATTAAAGAAGTATCATCTTTCTCAATTTCTACTTTACTGGTATCTTCTGAAAAGTCACTTTCCTCATCCTGGTAAATTTTTTTACTTTTTTTTTCATCCATAGCATTGCTGATGCCACATTTTTTAAATGATTTCACAACCACTTCCTTCTTGACCCCGTTCCACTATCTTAGGATCCGATCACAAACTTAGGGATGGATGCTTTCTTTATTCTGCCTGAAGGTCCTTACCAACTCACTGCTGTCGTGACCTTACTCTTTCTTCATTAAGGCCATAAAGTACTTGCTTACTGACACTTGAAGAGGCTGCAGTTGGCAGCTTAGCCTACCAGGAATCACAGAAAGCTGGGCTTTCAAGTCTGCTGGGATTGCTTTCCCACTTTATGTAACATAGGCTTCTGTTGCAAGAGCATCATGTATTCAACAAAAATAATTACCATATTTCAGGGTATACTTTTAATGCATAAGCATAAATAAGATTTAAAACATAGAAGTACAGAC